GAGGGATTTTGACATGGAAAAAACATATGTGGATGCTCTTTTGGCAAGAGAAACATACACAGGATACAGGAAAACATACCAGTCATCAATACTGATCCAGTGAGAAGACCGTGGCACGCGGGAGTGAGGAAAGTGCAATCAGACGCGCTGACAAGATGCGTGAACACCTAAACAACACACACACATACACACAAACACCTTCAACACTTATCACCACAGGTACGTGCTCGGTGCTTCAAGTTCGGGTTGGTACAGTAAATAGAATTACCACACTTGTTTTGTTAGAACTTTAGTAGAAGTTCGGGGAAACGATTTTGTATATTTTATATCACTTGTCTAAGTCTAGTAGACCCTTTGGAACAAAAGGTATTGTTTTTACGTGCAGGCACAAGTATAGAATTTGAAACCTAGTAGTCTTCAAAGGGAAACGGCTTTTATTGGGACTGTCTCGGTGTTCTGGGATTGTGTTCTAACTGTATACGAAGAAATGACAAGGAAATTGTGCTTTGTAGACTTTTATAACTCCCTTGAGCTTTTATTATGCCTCTGATTTGGTCCAAACTAGTCTTTAAAGACTCTTCAAGCACGCTCACTTGGATTCCTCGGTAAGAGCAGAGAGCTCTCTTACTAATTGACAAGATAACCTTATAAAAGCTTTGTGATCCCCACTTAACACGCTGGTTCCGGGCACACGTTACTTATGTCTGCGAAGAAAAGTCCTTAAATTGATTACAAACTTATCCACTACCTCAGATGCTACTGGGAGTGCGACAGCTGGTCAACGCGGGGGATAATTCCTCTCGTTTCAGCCTGCACGCGTCCTCCCTTTATACTATTTTATGTTTTCTATTTATATTTACATATCCGTGCGTTGCCCGAGAGGTCGGACGAATTAATGCTGATTTTTAGTAAAGGTTTGAAGTGGCTCGGTTGTGTTGTGGCACAACTGAGCTGACTTCTTTTAAGTTTTCGTAGTGTTTTCTCTATTGTGGCGACGCGACGCATCAGTATTGATGCGTATGTGGGAATCGCCGTAAACGGTTTTCACGATTGGCTCAGCTGAGGCGAACGGTCCGCTTAGTGATTTTCTCTCTATTATTAGATACTATGCCCAGGTTTTCGGACCACACGGCAAATCATTCATAGTTTTTCTCTTTTGGCAGACTTTGGAATATTTTGCGGAGTCTAGTTTTCTTGGGTCAATGATGCCATGATTTGTGATGTGCGTGATGCGCATGATGCGTCCCTCCACATGACTCCTTGGATCATGCTTCGTAGCACGTGACCGAATGACTTCTCGCGTCAGGTACGCATCGAGTTTCTACGCTCACACGTTTATCTTTTAGAATTAATATCTTTTAATCCATAATAAGGTGAGACCCTGGTTTGGTGTAAACTCCAATACCCTGTGCGGGGGTGTCTTTACTCTAGAACACTCGGTAGTGTACTATTTCATGGTAGCATAGCCTTTTATTAGACTTCGAGTATATTGAAGTGATTCGGTCACGAACCAACCACAATTCCTACTGCCTAAGGCGTGCACATTTCTCGGATGTAGACTTTAATCGACTAGACCAGGTTGCGTCTAACGATCCTTATGATCAATGTG